GAAGCCGATTGAATAATAGCTTTCCTTTTTTTTCTTGAAGTTTGGAACCTTAGATGCAATGGGTTGGCACCTTTGGGTCAAATTTGCTCCATTGGGTAGGCATTGGTTCTGTTGACCTTGGGCCTGTTGTTTTACTTGCCGCCCATTACCATGGCCACAACAATGTTTTCATCATTTGTGGCTGCTAGAATTGGTCGCATACGCTTCAGGCATAGTGTTTGAGCCAGTGGGTCGAACTTGATGATTTTTCATTAAAAGCTGGTTCTGCTTTTTAGCGAGAAGTAAAACGTAGATCAAATTCAAAAATTTAGTGAACTTTTATCCCCTATATTGTTGTTGCAAGACAATATTGGTGGCATGAAAGGTCGAAAAGGTATTCTCCAAGAGATCTGCATCTATTAAGTCTACTTTATAGAACTTAAGCAGGGATCGCTTTCTACAAACTTCAGAGTTGTATTCATTCATAGACTTAACGTATTGGAAGCGTAAATGCTACTAGTCATGTCTTGCTTTAACAAGTAAATGTCTTTTTGATGATCGAAACGGTCGGCCATAGCAAGCCATAAGGTAAGTGGGTCCTCCTCAGGGAGGTACTCGGTTTGCAGTACATAATAGATGTGTCTTCGAATAAAGATCATTGCAGTAGCTTTCTGAGCTTCATCGACAGAGGTTGCATCGGTAGGTGCCTTGATGATGGCTCTAATACCATTTGCAGTAAGATGGAGCTTCACGTTTTGAACCCATTTCAGGTAGATTCTTCCAGAGACTTCCAGAGTAGTGAAATTGAGCTTGTTCAAGTTCGACATGTCCCTAAAACAGAGGGTATAATAAAACGTGGTTAGTCATATGGTAATCCATAGACATACATCGTAAAACATTCCGGTTCTATAGATATGTATTGGTTTAATTTAAACATGAAAGCTACAAGTTTCATGTGGTAAGTTTTGAATGAAAACTTCGAGTTTCAAGGGCACTAAATATGAAATTGCAGGTCCACTTTAGTTTTATGAATGATTATTTCATAAAGGAGAGGTTCCTGCAAGAACACTGAATGCAATATGCTAATTTAAGTGTAGTGGATTTGAGTTGCTTTGGGAACTCAAGTGTGAGAGCTTCAGGACTACGAAAGGATGTCAACGGTTCAAAGTACAAAAATAAATTATTAAATTGTTAATATCCAATAATGATCTTAAGGTCAATAATTTTGCACTAATTATCAGATTAATGGATTGCATGTCACTTTTAATTAATCCAATAGATCGAGACCAAACGGAGTTGATAGTGGAAGCAAAATAATGATAAACAGGTCATATTAGCTTCAATTGGTGATCAACCAAGTGATAATTAAATTAGAATTAATTAGCGTAAACCAAAGTACCCAAAAAAAAAAAATTATTTCGGCATGATTTATAATGCAGGGATGCCATCAATTGGCATTGGGTCGAAAAAATAACGCGGTCCAGCAAAAAGTAGGCTGGTAACGACGCGAGGATAGCCTCTGTAGCTCGGCTGCAGTCTATTAGGCTTCGGGGAAGGCTGCAGGCCTAGGTCTTGTGGTCTAGGTGAGCTAAGCAGCAAAAGCTGCTGGTTTGGGCAAAAAACTAGACACGGGTGCAGGCCCAACGTGTGCTAGCCTGCGGTTTGGTGTGAGAAGCCCAGTTGAGGCTGGGTTTTGGGTTTTTGGATTGAGGCAAGTCAAGCTCAGCAGCAAAAGCTACGGGTAAGTGGGCTGAGGAGTGGCAAAACCCAGCAAGCAACACAGGCTTGTTACAGGCAGACCTATGGCATGAAACAAAACCCAGCAACATAAGGTTGCTGGCAGGTTGGGTCGGGGACACGTAGACGAGTCCACGAAGGGTTATAGGCCTTCTTAGGAGTTGGCTTGGGCTGCGTGCACGTGTAACCCTACCAAGCCGAAAGCCTGGCGTGTCCGTGTAGGCGAAGCAAAGCCCAAAAGGCTGCTGCCATGGTCTAGACGTCGTCCTGGTGGCATGCTTGACGCGGCTGGGCTGTAGGTAGACCTAGCATTCGTGTCGTGTTTTCCGTGTTCATGTCATTTTCGTGTCATACCTGATATCTTAACGAGTCGTGTCGTGTAACACCCATTAAAATAAACGGGTAAAATGACCCGACCCAAAATCGACCCAATAATATTAACAAGTAATATGATACAACCCGTTACCCGTTAAGGAAAATATATTTTAAACCAATAAATAATCAAATGAAAAACATAATAATAAATAAGTATATACATACCATATTGTCACATCCAAAACATAAAAACTCAATTTTCTTTTATGTATATTTTCGCTTACCTAAATTGATTGCTCTAGCCTTTTTCTTTGCAAGACTCGTATTTGTATTGTCTATAATTTCGCTTTCAAGATGAACGGTTTGGATCGTTGATATTATATTTAGAGTCTTATGATTAGTGAAAATATTGCTTGATGTTTATAAAGTTTATACAAACTATATGACATCGACTCTCAGTTAACCGTAAATATCGAAACGTGATATCAAAGATCTGAACCGTTCATCTTCTTACATCCGCCAGATGATCATGTTTTCAAAAATGAAAATTTAATAATGAAATTCAGTAAGAAGAATAAAGCATAAATGACAATCGACGGTTAAATATAAATTTAAGGTTTATGGATTATAGTGTTGGATTTCGAAGCTGACCCCTTCATGAAAGTTGTAAAGCTTGTCACTATGAGTAATTGTATTTTTTTTTTTACATTTTTTACACTTCTACAATAATTATTATTAATTTTTCCCTCAAATAAAAAACATTATTCATGAGGGTTTGGAGGATTTTAAAAATCTAAACGATAATGTAAGTGTAACCATTATCTACTCGTAGAGGAATAATGATGAATCACGAGTGTTTATATATTCTTTCACACTTTTCATACTTGTATGTATGTCTTCTTAGTTCTTGCCTATACAAATACTATACTAGTTTATTTTAATTTTGGACAACAACATGTTAAGTAAAATTTATCCTACTAATGATAATAAGGAACTCTCATAATAAAAATAAATAATGACTAAATTTTTTAAAACTTATATAGAATAATAATACAAAACTATATATTTAATATAGAACTAGCCTTTTTGCAAGCGCCTTGCACTTGCAAATGGTTTTTTTTACATCACAACACGTTACATGCTGTATACATAATTCTTTTTTCGGTTCCATAATTATGCATGCATAAAGACATCTTTACTACAAAAACTTCAAAAGGCATACAAATTTCGTTTGAAAAAGCTTCACTATGATTCCCATATTATACCATCAACTCATATTTTTCGTAATCCAATTTAAGGTTGCCAAAACCTATTCAACCAATTTAAGGTTGTCAATAGAAGGTTTTTGTCTTTTCAATATTTCTCGTAATGCAATTTAAGGGTGCCAAAACCTATTCAACCAATTTAAGGTTGTCAATACAAGGTTTTTGTCTTTTCAATACTTTTCGTAATCCAATATAAGGTTGCCAAAACCTATTCAACCAATTTAAGGTTGTCAATGAAAGGTTTTCGTCTTTTCAATTACTCTTCTCATGCGTGTGCAAAATGTATTTTTACATTGTGAAGTTTTTTTTTTCTTTATTACATTTGGTTACGCATAAAAACATTCTTATAATTATTTTTAATTTGTGACCTACATTATGAAAGGTATCAAATTAATAAACCAAGAAATCAAGAATGTCTTTATGCGTGAAGTCAAACATTAACTGGAGATATTCATTATGTAAAACTAAATTATTGCTCCTATCACCTATGTCCATTATTGATTTGTTGAAATCCACTTTAATTTTTTTTCGTATTCCTACATAAACCCAAAAAAAGAAAACGAACGCAATAATTTTTTTGACAAAAGAAAATATAACATGAGGAAAAAATATATGCAATAACAGTAACTTGCATATTAATATCAGTGCAGAGAAGAGCTATATATTCTTCTCTACCAATCAGTGCAAAGAAAGAGTTATTTAAAAGACAAAAATTCTCTAAACCTAAGTCATAGAGACGAAGCATCTAAAGGAATATGCTTTAGCTCAGTAACCTATCTCTGCTTCAATAGCAGTATGGTCTTTATACAGTTTTACATACACCCGCATGCAATAAACAATAGCACACGCATGCAATAAATAATTACAATAAAGTGATTGTCTAGTTGTGAGATCATGCAATATTCTTCTGCCCATCTTCAACATATATTCTTCTGCCCATCTTCAACATATTCTTCATGGGTTTCATTTAGAATATTCATTTCATCATGTCAGCAGCACATGGCATGTCAACAGCACATGGCTTATCAGCACATGGCTTATCACGGCCCCTCAAGCTGAGTGGGCAGGAACGGACAGGAAGCTTGGAAACCAGAAACAAAAACCGGGGAAATGACAAGCCTTTTGTGAGAAGATCAGCTAGTTGATCAGTGGAGGCAACATAACCGACAACAATTTCTTTGCGAGTGACTTTTTCCCGCACATAATGGTAATCAACCTCGACATGTCGCATCCGAGCTTGATAGACTGGATTAGAGGCAACAGCGATAGCACTGATATTATCACACCAGAGACGTGGAGGAAGAAGAGGAAGATGAAGATCACGAAAAATGTTTCGGAACCAAGAGAGAGTGGCGGAGGTGTAAGCAAGCTGACGGTATTCGGCCTCTGTGCTGGAGCAAGAGACTCCTCTTTGTTTCTTGGAACTCCACGAAATGAGATTACTACCAAGGAAAATACAGTTACCTCCAGTGGATCGTCGATCATCTGGATCCCCCGCGTAATCAGCATCAGCATACGCAGTGAGAGTGAGGGAACTAGCAGTGTAGACAAGGGCATGATCATGTGTTGCTTTTAAGTATCGAAGAATACGTTTGACAGCAGCCCAATGTGTGGTTGTCGGTGAATGCATATATTGGCAAACTTGGTTAACCGCGAAAGCAATGTCAGGACGTGTGAAGAGAAGGTACTGAAGAGCACCAACAACACTTCTAAATTCAGTGGCATCTGAAAGAGGTTCCCCTTCATGAAGACTAAAACGACGACCAGCAGTAGCAGGTGTTGAAGTTGGCTTGCAGTCGGTCATCTTGGTGCGACGGAGGAGATCCACAATGTATTTGGATTGAGAAAGGTACATGCCAGTAGGTGTACGAGTGACTTCCATGCCAAGGAAAAATTTAAGGGGCCCAAGATCTTTCATAGAGAATAATAGGCCAAGCTGAGCAATGAGACGTGAAATGTGAGCTGCATCATTCCCAGTGACTAAAATGTCATCTACATAAATCAAAAGATAAATAATAGTGGCACCATTGAAATATGTAAACAGGGAGGAGTCGGCAGTGGAAGCAAGGAAACCTAAGTCCTCCAAGTGATGAGAAAAACACTGAAACCATGCCCGGGGTGCTTGTTTAAGGCCGTATAAAGAACGACGAAGCTTGCAAACATGAGTAGGATAGCAAAGCGTGGTCCTCCAGGTTTGTGGTAATGTCCAGTTTGGAAATTATGACCACCAGAATAAGATCCACGTCCACCACGGTAGGAAGAGCCACGACCCCGGAAACCACCACCAGAGCGTCCTCCACGCTGAGCAGCAAGAATAGTCGGTGCAGCGTCGGAAGGAAGAATGGAGTGACCTTTTTGGCGTCGTTCTGCGCTGAGAAGAAGAGCTAATATGCTTTAGCTCAGTAACCTATCTCTGCTTCAATAGCAGTATGGTCTTTATACAGTTTTACATACACCTGCATGCAATAAACAATAGCACACGCATGCAATAAATAATTACAATAAAGTGATTGTCTAGTTGTGAGATCATGCAATATTCTTCTGCCCATCTTCGACATATATTCTTCTGCCCATCTTCGACATATTCTTCATGGGTTTCATTTAGAATATTCATTTCATCATGTCAGCAGCACATGGCTTATCAGCACATGGCTTATCAGCATCCACATGGGAACCGAAAGACCATCATCAAATTATCAAAATCCAGTCGAACATAAATGAAAAAAGACATAGTAAATAGAAAAAACAAACGAATTCCATCGTCAAAATTAAATCGTACCTTTGCATCACCTCCTCATCCACAGGAGTAACACATACAACCCTCGCCCTGGAATTTCCTGAAGGCATCCTCATCCACGGGAACAACACACAGAACCGTGGCACTGGAATTTCCAGAAGGCATATGAATTATTAGAGATGCCTTTGCATTGCTTCCTCATCCACACTGGAATTCCCAGAAGACATCCTACATGAAAATTAACACGTCACATAAAAAATGTCGTAGAATCTCATCAAGCAGATAAGACTCCATTTGAAGGACCGAGTTTTTTGCCTGAAAAACAGACAAAACGAAGAACAAATGAGCCCAACTCTACAAATTCCATGCAATGCAGCAAATGATAAGATCAAATCCACTAGCTGTTCTCTTCACATGAACTACTCCCATTAGTCACAACAACATCAATGGACTGCAAGTTTTGCTGCAGCTCCGACGCTTTCTTTATACCAAACTTGGCATCCTAAAAATATAAATAATTTTATCAGTAGAGAAAACAGAAGCAAGCAAAACAAATAAAAGTAAGCAGTACTCTGTAACGTAAAGCAAAACCTAAAATTTAAAAGAAAAAACCCAAAACCACTGCTCCCTTTTTGTATTGAAAATTCATTTGCTCTTCTCTTGAAAGCTTCTAATCGAGTTTATGAGGCGACGTCGTTGAAATTTTGTACCCATTTTTGGCTGGCGGTTTATTTCCTCTCTATAACTATTCCGCTTTATTTGCAAAGCCAGAGACGTAGAGGAAATACTGATGTGGGAGTGGGAAGTTATAAGGGAAAAAGTATGCTATGCGTGCGAAGGAAATTTGAATCACACGTTCAATTTTTTTACTTTTTTTTCCTCTTTTATTTATTTATTTTACTTTTTGGTTTGACAAAAATATCCATCATGAAATATTCATAAATTCTAGAGCTTTATATCTGAGGTAGTTTTTTTTTTGTTTGAGGGGCTTTTTAGTCCAATTATTTTTGGTGAAGCCATAAGACACCAAACTAGACTTCTGGCTATTGTATGTATTAAATATGGCTATTGTATTTTATAATAAATCTTTAGTGATTAAACTTTAAAATTATCAAAATATTTTTTTTCTTAACCAGTCGAAACAGGTTACCCGCGTGTATACCTGTTATTAACGGGTCACTCGATAATGACCTGATTAGTTATCGTGTTGATCCGAAACTCGTTATTTTCGTGTCATTTTCGTGTTGTGTCAGAAACTGCCGGGTTTAGCTGTAGGCCAGCGCGGTAGTGCCAGGGACGGTGCGGCGGCGAGTGGCATTAAATTCCCATAATTGTTTTTTAAATTGCTTCTAATTTGTTTATATGCTTTGACTCCCAAACTTTACATAGCAAAATAATTGCATAATGCATGAAACGTGTGTGTGTGTGTGTGTATATATATATATCGGAAGGAAAATATAAATATAAGGGGTTCATACATCATGGGGAATGTTTTCATGCTTCGTGGACATTTCAAATATCTTACTTTATTTTAAGCATACCTGATTGACAGAAAATAAAGAAAAGCCTTTGAATTTTGTAGAAGAAAACCTCCTCATATGATCATTCAGTTCCTTAGCTTCTGTCAAGAGCGTGCTGATAACGTGTTGTATCACCCCATTATGCCTTTATTTATAGTAGTAGGATATGTTAAATCCTTACCCGTATAGGATTACAACTCTAATAGGATATTAACTACTAAAGAAAATATTCCAAGGTATCCCAAGATACACTAGGATTTACACAATCACATTCCTATTCTAAATATGACTGCAATATAATTATATTTTATCATATATTCTTCATTGTGTGTGAATTTCTCTATATATATGTATATGCATGTTACGTACCTATGTATCTACTACTGTTACGTACCAAGATATGTTGTACCAATACATTGGTACCGAATTTCTGTACTGACACATCGTATTGAAACTTATTTACTGATACAACGTACCGAAACTTCTGTACCGAGACAATTGTACTAAAACTGACGTACCAATACTTTTGTACCTATGAATTTGAATAATGTTTTATCTATTAACAAACTGAAGTACAAAAAAAACACATTAATTATGGATGAGTAGAAAACTTCGGATGATAAGTTTATAAATGATAAATACTTAAATACGGTAAGTTTTAATAATAGAAACTTAAATTAGATTTATAAAATCATCCAAGTTAAAGACTAAAAAAATCTTATATAAACCTTAAAATCTAAAAGCCTCTTGTTTAATTATGCTAGATGTTATAAGAACTAAAGTTAAAAGTCTGTGAGAGATCAGAGTAATTTTTTTGGACAATTGAGACTTTTCTTCGAAAAATATAACCAAATATCTAGCGAAGTAAGTCCATTAATATCAGCTTTGAAAAAACATTTGTTTTTCATGATTTGTTTCTTTGTATCATTTGTTATTTTAGACTCTACTAGCAGAGAGCATACATTTTGTATGTGTGAATAATTTCTCTTAATAAGTGCATATTTTTTTAATATTACGTAATTACTGTTTTGTCCTCCTCATGTAAATATTGTGTATCAAAAGTGAGGGTAAAATTGGAAAAATAAGTATATGATTGTCATTTTGTCAAAATGTTCAAAATTACTATTTTGCCCTTCTTTTGTCAATAGTTTGTATCAAAAGTAAGGGCAAAATAGGAAAAAATGGAAAAAAAAAGTTGACAATGAGGGTTTTCTTAATAATAGTATAGATATATATTATTCATTTTTTTATTGGTGCTTTAACATTTATTTTGCTTCCAGTGGGTTGACCCTACATGGGTCGTCCATTTGGGCCGGAGGGACTCCACCAACGCCAATTTCTCCGATGTTGGCGTTAATATCCCATTCGCAAGCTTCAACCATTTTAAGTTAATTTCTGTATTTAAGGGCATGAGGGCTCAATTCCAGAGAGATGGTAGCCTTGTCAGGTAATTAACAAATTATTGATTTTCCATTAGATCATAACACATTTTACATGTAATAAAATGTTGTGATGTGGGACTTATTGCTACTTCTTATCTGCTTAGTATCATGAATGTAATGGGATAACATTTTAAAATGATTAACAAGTTACACAACTACATATCCTTGGTAGTAGACAATGAAGCAAATATTGTAGGTTTTGTTAGGTTGCCAAAGTTCAATTGATTATGTTCTGGTTTGGCTAGGGGGGTTTAAGGGAGACAGAATTAGTCTTTAGTTATGTAGATTGTTTTGGAGACGAGGTTTTGTAATAATGTTGATTTATTTATAAATTAACTACTTGGTTTTTTGAATGTAGGGGCACACACCTTTGGAGAAGCACATTGTGCCTCCTTTTATCACCACGTGTACAAGGATAAGGATTTTTTTTTTAAGAGAAACGTTAGCATTTTATTGAGAAATCATAATTTAAGCAACATCATATAGGGCCTCCACGATCGAGTTCAGAGGCTCCTCATACCAACAAAAGTCAATAGAAGAAGAAACAGCCAACTTGGCCATACCATGTGCCGCAACATTAGCAGTGCGACGCATATAACAAGCCTGCAAATCCACAAAGGCCCGCAAAAGAATATGAATGTCATCCACCAGAAGATCCATAAATGAAGACCCCTGGACTTGGCTACCAATAGCTTAAACCACCTGCAATGAATCACACTCCATAATAATGTGAGCCAAATTTCGATCTGCATCCCAACGAATACCCTCGTGAACAGCAAGTAATTCCACCATAGTAGGGTTCAATGCAGGGGATATTTTACAAACAAAACCTCCAGCATAGCTACCGGCTTCGTTGCGAAATACCGCACCTACACCTCCCATATTGGATCCAACAAGAAAACACCATCAACGTTAACTTTCACCCACCTAGCTTAGGGGGGACTTCAACGCGACGACGCCTAAAGAGGGCAAGAAGTGGAACCGGGTTTGGCTTTCACAAACTCAACCAGTTGCAACTTAGCAAGATGAGAGACCAAATACGGATTACTCGTTTTATTCTCCCAAAGCAACAAGTTCCTAGCACACCAGATTCCTTGAAGAGTCATGAACAGCAAATCCATGGCTTTTGGATAAATGTTCCACATATAGTGACAGCCAATCATACATAGAAACTTGACCCAAGGGCCTTAACCCTAAACTTAATTGAGAGAGTGTATACCACACGAGTGAATGGACAATCTTTAAACACATGTAGCGCCAACTCCGAAGATGAACTACAAAACAGACACATGTTGTCCACAACCACACCCTTGGTTTCCAAATCAGCACGAGTAGGCAAAATATCACGACAAGCCCTCCAAACACATCTTTACTTTACTCGGTAAAGTCGCCCTCCATATAGCTTTCCACACCGAAGCTCCTCTCGAGTTCGACTACGAAGATGAATCCTTAAAGCGATGATTAAAAGCAACTTTATAAGAACTCTTTACAGAGAACAAACTTTTCACATCATAATGCCATATTAACTTATCAGATGAAAGCCTACAGCTTAACGGAGTAGCAAGAATCATTGCAGCCTCATCAGGAAGAAATAATTCAGTAACCAAGTTGATGTTCCAAGACGCCATTTCCGCAACAATCAAATTAGCCACATACTTCACCCCAACATTCGGAGAAGAAGGCATGAGAGGTCAAAAGAGATGGGGACGATCAAGCCACTAATCATGCCATATCCTAATCGAGTTGTCATTCCCCACCCGCCAACGGGACTGATTTTCCAGAATTGATCGTGCTTCCAACATGCCCCTTCAACACACTGACGGGGAAGATCCAAATGTCGTCTGCCATAAAGTATTATGAGGAAAGTACTTGACCTTTAATAGCCAAGATGCCAAAGAATCAAGATTTTGAACCAACCGCCACCCATGCTTAGAAAGGAGCGCAAGATTTAAATCATACAACGACCGAAAGCCAAGCCCACCCTCTTCCTTGGAACTACACATGTTTTGCCATGACTTCCAATGGATACGGCAGGAGTCTTCATTATCACCCTACCAAAACCAACAAAGTATACATTGGAGATCCTCACAGAAGGATTGCTGTAGAAGAAAATAGTTCATTGAGTAAATAGGAAAAGACTAACCAACAACCTTGATAAGAATCTCATTTATGGCTGCACTAAGCAGTTTTTCCTTCCAGCCTTTCAACTTTTTCCATAAACGATCCTTAATATAAGAGAATTTTTTAGAGCAATTCCTCCCAAGGACGATAGGCAAACCAAGATACCGGTCATGTACATCCACCCGTGTAACACCTAAGTAAGCGGCCAGTTGATCTTGTATATCCCGCCTAATATTAGGCGAAAATGAGACCGCACACTTCTGAAAATTAATATAATGTCCGAACACCACCTCATAATAATGCAATATTTGCTTAAGATACAAGCATTCCTTAAAAAATGATTCCATAAACAAGACACTATCATCAGCAAATAGCAGATGCATTATACTAGGCACTCCACGACAGATAAAGACTCCATGAATGAGACCTAGCTATTCATATCGAGCAATCAAACTGGTAAGACCTTCTGCACAAATAAGAAATAGATAAGGGGAAAGAGGATCAAAACCAGAAAAAAGTATGTAACTGAGCTAATGCAACACCACTAACTAGAAAAAAGTATGTAACTGAGCTAACGCAACTCATAACCAAATCTATCCAGCAAGAATCAAAACCAAGTTGCAGCATAATTTGCTTAAGAAAATACCACTCCACACGGTCATACGCCTTACTCATATCAAGTTTCAAGGCTAGGAAGCCCTGTTTCCCCCTTCAGAGATAATAA